TAAAAGGCCCAAATGCAATTTGGAGGGGTCAGTTGTATAACATTTGTTGAGTTGAGAATATCTAAATAAAAATTTGGTTACTTGAGTGAAAGCAAAATATAGAATGGATTTCATACAAGGTATTTATATATATATATATATATATATATATATATATAATATTTATGCTTATTATTGTTTGGCTTTGGTCTCGGATACACGAGTACTTACATATAATATTTCATTTATTCTTTATTTTTATTCTTTATAAAAAAGAAATTATTGATTAATAGATTTGAATTTATTATATCAGTTATTACCCGGCCCGCCTGTAGTGTGCAATTTCAATTACAGATACAAAGGAATAAAAAAAAATGGCAAACGCTATTCATAGATTTAGAAGCGTGAGTGAAATCCCGCGCAATGAAATATTGGTAGTGTTTACAGATTTGGATAAAAAATCAAATTGGGAGAAGAGAATTGTGTAAGTAATTTATTTAAATCCACTTTTTTATTCTTTAGGACATGTGCGTAATTAAAAAAATATTATATTTATAGTTTGGATGATGCATCCAAGAGACCGACCCGAATAGGAGAGGTCTTTTGGGCCAAATCTTTTCTACAGCATGCAGTTGGGCTGTGTGCCGTATCCGCCACAGATTATGGTATATATTTCTTCTATATTATAGCATATACATACTTATATATATATATATATATATATATATATATATATATACGAGGTGTGTTCAAAAAGTACCCGGAATTACTAATAATTAAATTTCGCGGGTCTGGAGTGTCTGATTGTCAAAATTCTTTTTTTATTGTGTTGGTATACATGCCCCTAAAGTATGATGAAATTTTCAGCTATATTCACTGTTTACTTTGTCTGTGGTAGTCGCTAAGGTTCGACGTGTTTTTCTGAGCTCGGCGATTTTTACAATGGAAGAATTGAAAAGTCAAAGAATTTGTATTAAATTTTGCGTAAAAAATGAAATAAAGTGTTGCAAAGTGCAAAAATTCACCAGATATGGCTCCGTGTGACTTTTTCCTATTCCCAAAGTTGAAGAGACCCATGAAAGGACGGCGGTTTTCCTCGATTGAAGAAAATCGCTGAGAGTGCTCAAGGACATATCAAAAAGTGAATATCAAGGGTGCTTCGAAAATTGGAAAAAACGCTGGCATAAGTGTATTATATCTGGGGGGGACTACTTTGAAGGGGACCACATTAATGTAGACGAATAAATAAATATTTTTTTGAAAAAACGAAAATTCCGGGTACTTTTTGAACAGACCTCGTATATATATAAAGGTGATATATTATTTCAAAATCGCGTAAAAACTTTACACTTTTAATTTGAAAATTTTTATAGAAGCGTAATTTGTTGTGATATAATTGGTTTGATTTTTATAGTATAGTTTGTATTTGCTCAAAGTCAAATTGGACCTTTGTGCCTTGCCCTGCTCTACATATATACTTTTTATTAAATTTACTTTAATTCATCGAATGTTACTCGAATCTTTTCAAAAAGCAGGTCAAAGAAGAAATACTTAATTCATTTTCTATCTATCCTCGCAGAAATTTGAAAATTTTGTATAAGCTCAGTAATATTATTTACAATTATACACAAAATCCATTATTACCATATTTTTATAACAGAGTATGACATGACTGCAGTCGGAATAATCTTCCAGAAAATTAAATCAAATTCGCTCCCGGACAACAAAACTATATCTCTTATGCCGGTAGAGTATGAGAATAGTGACGATGTGGGGCTCTATTTTCATGAAGTGTTTAAGGAGAAGGATATTCGAATATATTATCATGATAAGGTAATATTACATTTATATAATAATATATAAATACATTGATTGATATATTGAACAATCAGTTATTATAATATTAATAATTATTATTTTAGTCCGATGAAGCAAGTTGGGGCCCCACCGGTCCATCTTCGACGTATAGCGAAAGCGGCGAAGACGTAGCTTCAAAAGTTGGCAGCGGCCGGGGTTACCGTGGCCGCGGTTACTATCGCGGCGGTGGACGTGGCGGCGGTAATTATCGCGACGGTCGACAAGACGGCTGTCAACGTGGCGGCTATAATCATCGCGACGGTCGTCGTGGCGGCGGCGGCGCTCGATATCGCGGCGGTGGCTACTATCGCGGCGGCAGAAATTATGATCGCGCCATCTTCATTTATTGAATTTTTTATAATTAATAAATAATAAATTAAACAAGTTTTTATTTTTATTTGTTTTATCCTTCTATACATGTTCTATATTATGATTCATGTTGTAAATTATATACACCTAAGTCTGTTTTTACACGGTAGATTGGTTCCAGAAGAAGCCGTGTAAAAAAAAAACGTGTAAAAAAAGACATTGATCTTATACAAAAGTGGGTAATTTGTTCCTAATCTCTAAAACCTATTAAAATTAGTGAAAATCAAGAATTTTCAGGGTATGTATTCCCCTAAATTAGTGCTATTCACATTTGCTTTGACCAGTAAAAATTGTTTGTACGCGCTAAAGGGGAATTCATCACTTAAATCTTTAAGCTAGTGTTTGCAAACTATCGATACTATCAATAGTTTCAGACTTTTTTTTTCATAAATACTTTTTTGTGATATGAACATACTTCGCAAAAATTAAATTTGATAAAAAAAAATTAAGTACATAAAATTTCAAACCGTGTTATATCAAAACCGTGTACAAAAAACCGTGTAAAAACAGACTTAGGTGTATATTTATATATATATATATATATATATATATATATATATAAACTATTTGATTTCTATTACTTCCCTTAATCTTATAATGAATGTTCTTTGACAATTTCACTGTAACTTTTAAATTAATAATTAATATATATATATATATATATACGAGTATATATATATATATATATATATATATATATATATATATATTAATTATTATTATATAATCAGACATTTCAGCAAGTACAAATTTCTATGTTCCTTTGCAATTATTAAGTTTGGCTACGGTCCTAGTTTTAATTCAGTGGAAGCTAACTACATTCAAATAAAACCTATTAAAACTCAGCAAACAACAAATAGCAGATTCAGTCGATGAAATAACAAAATTAAAACACTTTTTATATTATAATACTAAATCAAAATACTTCATACAGTCTTGGAACAAATATATTTAGTTTTTTTTCTATAATATTTGCTATTAGGGAACCAGATATATTGTATTTTAAATTAGTATATTGTCTAAGGTAGGCTATCATCTTGGTCCTAAACAATTTAAAAATCATTATTAATCTTGACAGGTTTTAGCATCCAAAACTTTTGAAATCGACAGCTAATTTCTTTCGGCGGCAACTTCATGCTGGCTGAAATGTGGTGTGGCATGAATTGGCATGATTGAGTTGGCAAATGACGAGCGAATTGAAGAAGCAAAGCTTTATTTTATTTTTGAGAGTTTTAGTTGAGAGCTAGTCCACGAGTTTCCGTAACCTATTTCTATTTACTAATGAGAATTTTGTGCATACAAGCCGGAGTTTTTGTAAGTAACTATAATAATTTAGATATTTGTACCTAAATAGGCACACATCAGAATTCTGATAAAGATATCTTTTCCACAAAATATTGAATTATCGGAATTTATAGGTTTGTTTGTATTACAAATAAAGTTGTTTATTTATTAACTTCCCAAAGGAGAAGTTTATATTTTCATCTTATTTCAAATGTATGTTTTGTTTTTATTTCAAATATAATTTTTTTTTCAGATTTTTTGGCTGTATTGATAATATGTACAAATGTAGAAGTAATACCAGGGGTTAATTAACATACTGTGCATGTGCTGCCATGTTGTGATCAAGCAAGTGTAACGTCAAATGGCCCGAGATAGCGATCTATTTATGCTTATTTATCTACGACTGTACCTACCTGTGCATTGAAGTAAATTTTAAAATGTTAATAACTATTCAACTTCAACTTTTTTGTCGTTTTTTATTTAATTTTATTCTATAAATATAATTACATCTAGCAGAGAATGCTGACAAGTTGTTTACAATTTATTGTTTACAAATTTGTAGATACCCCCAGTCCCCCAGTGTAGGCGTATCTACTAGAGCTAATATACAGGATCCGGCACTCGAAGTGTAACCAATTAAAAAAGCCATGAATTCAGTTTGGAAAATTACTTTCACTCGATTTAAAGTACAAAATATGTATAAATAATACAAAATTTAAAAACAATTGACTTTTACAAAACGAATCGCACTTGGCCGAATATGTAACTTGCGGACAACGGTTTTGTTTAGCGCCCCGAGACTGAGGTACCTTTTAGTTCGGACCTTGCTTTCCAAAATGGCCCAAATAGATAATAATCCATAGGATTTGCCTCTGGTGAATTCGAGAGCCATTATGTGGACGTAATGAAGTTCGGGACGTTGTTTTTCAGCCATTCTTGGTTCACTCGAGCTTTATGAGACGGTACCTAGTCCTGTTGAAACGTCCATGATCTGCCACCGAAATGTTTGTCTGCCCATGGGTTTAGGTTTAAAGCAACCTTCAGAATACTTTCTCGATAATATTGCACATTTACCTTGACGCCAGACTCGATGAAAACGATTGGAGATCGCCCATCTGCGGTTACAGCGGCCCAAACCCAAACCATTATCTGTGGAGCTGCCTTCTGGTGGCCTACTGTTGACTCAAATTCTTGTCTGAATGTTTGGTCAAGTAAACTCTATCTATTATTTATCTATGGATATACTCTGAACTGGCACTCTTAACGTACAAATCGGAAGCGAGAAACAAGTGGCGAGTCTTTTCTTGGTTCTCTTTGTCTCTACTCTCTCTGAGTCTCTCTAACTCTAACTCTATGCTTCAAATGTCAAATAATAATGTAAAAGTTGAAATTATTTATCACATTCAGAAAAATTATTGATAAAACTAGGCTATTATTTAGTACACAACTATTTTATTCTTATTTAGTGCACAATTATTTTTTGTGAGTATAAGCAGTGGAAATATTTAAAAATGTCGGAGGAAACAATTTTGTCTATGAATGATCAGGCAGTTAAAATTGAACCGCCAGAATATTCGCCAGAAGACCTTAAACTCGAAATAGAAGATGATTTTGATGATACCGGCGTTATTGTTAAATCTGAATCGTGTTCTGAAGATCATAATACGTGTTTAGAAAGATTTATGAATTTCGAGGTGACAATTGAAGAAGAAGTCAAACAGGAGTTAGTCGAAACATCAACTTATGAGTGTGACGTATGCAATAGATCATTTGCAGAATCAGATCATTTAAAAGAGCATGTGGCTGATCATATTCCCATTCATAGTAAAAAACGTCTTTTCAAATGCGAAATCTGTTATAAGACTTTTGATCGATTAAGTAATCTGAAAAATCATATACTCATACACAGTGGTGAGCGCCCCCATCGATGCAGTATATGCAATAAGACTTTCACACTATTATCTAATCTGAAAAGTCACATGCTTATTCACAGTGGTGAGCGACCTCATCGATGCAGTATATGCAATAAGACTTTCACACTATTATCTAATCTGAAAACTCACATGCTTATTCACAGTGGTGAGCGACCCCATCAATGCAATATATGCAAAAAGACATTCATGCGAACAGGTGATCTGAGTAGACACATGCTCATTCATAATGGAGTACGTCCCCATGAATGCAATATATGCAAAAGAACATTTATAGAAAGAGGTCATCTGAAAAGTCACAAGCTGATACACAGTGGAGTAAAACCGCATCAATGCAACATATGCAAAAAAACATTTACGCAATCAGGCAGTCTGAAGAGTCACATGATGATACACAGTGGAGCACGTCCCCATGAATGCAGTATATGCAATAAGATATTTGCACTATTAGGTAATATGAAAAGTCACATGCTGATACATAGTGGAGTACGTCCCCATGAATGCAGTATATGCAACAAGACGTACACGCAATCAAGAGGTCTGAAAAGTCACATGCTGATGCACAAAGAAGTACGCTCTCATGAATGCAATACATGTAATAAGAAATTCAAACATTTAAGTAATTTGAAAAGGCACATTCTGCTTCATAAACAAGAGCATCCTGATAAATGTGAAGTCTGTAAAAAGGAATTTACTCAATCGATGGATTTGAAGAGACACATGGCACTTCATAGTTAGAAGTGTGGTGAAGAATTTGTTTACTTAAATTTAAATATTGTAAAATTTTCTTGCATTTAATGAAATGTATAAATAGTATGAAATATACAATAAACACTACATTACTTTGGTTCAATTACGTGGACTGTAGAATGAAAGTCAAAGTTTAAGTATTTGCTTTATTTATTTTTAATATAGCAAAATTTTATTGTTATTATAAGATATTGTAGAAAGTTTTATTATCTTTTCATTGATATATAATCTTATATATAAAAGTGGAGCTCTCAATCAAATGATCCACTAAAACTCAAAAACAGCTAAACCGATTTGGCCAGTCTTAGTCTTGAAATATTCGTGCCAATCCTGAGATTATCGGAAAGGTGAGGAATTATTTCAAAACCGAGTAGAAACTTTACAATTTTAATTTGAAAATTGTTGGTATACACCACTTGATTTTGAATGGCTTCAAATGCACAATATTATTCAAATGACAGATTTGCGTAAATGTTTTTTTGCATATATTGCATTGATGCGGTTTTACTCCACTGTGCATCAGCTTGTGACTTTTCAGATGACCTCTTTCTATAAATGTTCTTTAGCATATATTGCATTCATGGGGACGTACTCCATTATGACTCCACAATAGACATTTTTGTCTAATCACTTATTGCGAGTTAAAATAGACAGTGATATGAATAAGAAAATTCGATTATAACACAGATAGTAATTTTGGAAATCATATTAATAAAAATTTCAATTACGTGTACATTGGTGTACATACAAATACAAGATCTTCGGAAACAAAATTGTTTGAAAATTGCTTATAAAGCTCGCATTTTGACATGTGACATCAAAATAAGTACAGTTTGATTAGATATGGAAGTAATCATTACAAATATTTACTGGAAATTCTTCATTATGATACTAAAATGAGTTTTGTAGTTATATGGTCCATGACATTTATATTTTTAAGGTTTGACACAGAATAATGGAAAGCATCAGCTGATACTGGAATGCTGGAAAAAGTTCTTTCTATGCACGACCTATTTGGATGATGAAATCATGTAATATAATGCAAGTTCGTACTTCTAGAAAGAACTTTTCCAGCATTCCAGTTTGCAATGAAAAAATTGAAAATAGTTAAACATATTCCACATAGTAATAATAAAATTTTTACAGATTGTTTCTTATGTTGTTCAGATACTAATGCTGTTATTGATCGGGTCTTTTTCAATTACTTCCCGAGCATACTATATAGAAGTCATAACCGGTTATGACCGGTTTTGTAATGATTTTTATTTTTTTTTTTTCGAACAGAACCGGTTCAAACATGAGAACCGGTTTTTGAACCGGTTTTTTCAATTTTAGCGTTCCGGTAAAAAAAATATTAGCACAACGCCACTGGTGATATCCATGTGATAACGAAGATGCCACTAATGTGGATACACGGTTTCCAAAAAGGAAAATCAAAATAAGCACATTGAAATTTATAATGACAATATGTTCTCATGTTGAAAATGTACATCTCTTCAAGCAAATTCATAAGGAAAAAATGTCCATTTTATATAACAATCCGGGGTAAAACATTAAAATGGCTGTACGGATTGGGCCAGTCTTAGTTGCATAATTTTATATTCATTAGTATTTGTAAACCATTTTCTAGATTATATCATTATTTTATTTAGATTATTTAAATTAAAAACCTAAATTGGGAATCGATCAAAGGGGACATTTTGGCGAATAACTTATTCCCTGATATAACAGACCACAACTTTAATAAGGGATTTGTTCCATCCGAGCCAAACTGACAGTCCGAAACTATCCGCGCATGTGCAGAACACTTTTTTCTGTTCCATCTAAAAGTTCGGACTCCAAACTGTTGTGGATTGTCAGTAAATCGTTCCATCAGAGCAGTCCGAGTTTGAAACATTTGATCAAAAAATCCGCAATTTAATCTGAGCATTCGCAGAAAACAGATATTTCTTATAACTTTTCCTACTTCAACATATTAAAATATTAAAAAATAATGTTATTTAAGCTCAAATAAAACAAATAAAAAACTAGTGATGCATGGCGCCGTGGTTTAAAATTCAAACCTTGCAATAGAAGAATATTAGATTATAGCGATATAACGATATATATTTTTGGAAAATATTAACAGCAAATTCATTTATGTCATCATGCTTATTTATATTCTCCTAATATAAATAAATTATATATATATATATATATATATATATATATGTATAATGGAATAAATAATTTTGTTATTTAATCTTTTTTTTAATTCGACGGTTGGGCTGCAAAAAAATTTACATATATATATATATATATATATATATATATATATATACACACATATATAACCGAATACCACCGAATTCTAAATGCAAAAATGTTCATCTTCGATTTTCGGCCCATTACTATAACTACCCTACGGCCTACGTGAAGTTAAATATAGAATTTAAGGGTGCCCAGCGGGCATAACATTGTCTATTTACTTGTTTAGAATTTCAGAATGAAAAAAATTGACGAAACACATGACCTCAAGGAGAAAAAACTTTGAAAAAAATTTATATAGATACTTCCGGCGGATAACATTCAGTACTCGGATTACTTTAGAACAGTGATTCCCAAAGTGGGCGCCAGCGCTCCCTTGTGGGCGCTGCGGCCATTCTGGGGGGCGGTGATGGGCTTTGGTGTATTTAGGGGGCGATGCTTAGTTGTGAAGGGCGTTTAAGGCACAAAACTAAAAAAATATAATATTAATATTATATATAAATAAATGATTAAAATTAACACTGAATTATATAAAGATAATATTTTAGTTAAAGTTATTCAAACATATCTGCATAGTGCATAGGTGTATTAGTAAATACATCCGTTTTAAAACTGTACACCGCCAATTCTTGTTTCGCAAAAGGTTTAATGAAAAGAATGGTTCATACGTTTTGGGTTATTCATTTCTTATTTTGGGTGATATTTTGGTGACAGCTTTGCTTACTTTTGCTGACAAAGGGGGATGGGCGGGTAAATGATTGTACTAAATCTGCTTACGTAATACTTGAACGATCAAAAAAAAAACATAAAAATTGTCTAAAAAATTACTACTATTTATTAATCACTACTACTTATATTAAAAAAAACATTTTATTACAAGAAAACGGCCTGGCCGATCATTACCAAAAACTAATCAGGTCGATTTCCAGCCAATATGTTTCGAACAGTTTTTGAATTTTCAAAATCGATTCAAAATTGCGGGCTAAAACGTGGACGAAATTTTTTTCACTTTTCTGCAATTCACAAAGAAACGGCTCGGCCGATCGTCGAACAAAACTGAGAAACGTTAGTCCTCATCGAGATACATCGAATGGCTTTTAAATTTTTCAAATCGGTCCAGCCATTTTTGAGAAAATGAAGAGTTACGAGTTGTTGGTCTCATTCGATTCAGAATGGCTTGAAACGTCGAGAAAACATAAAATCAGCGAATCGGATTTTTTGATGAAAACGAACTTTTCCTTCGGAAAGTTTGTAAGGGGGGCGCTGAGTAACATTTTTTCTGGAAAGGGGGCGGTAGGTGAAATAAGTTTGGGAATCACTGCTTTAGAAGAAAAAATTTGAGTCAGACTTTTATTATTAGAATACAGATTTTTACAAAAGTTTTACGCCGAATTGTAACTATTTTTAATATAGTACTATTTAACTTTTTTGTGTAGGAGTTTTTGAAATTATAATAATATATGTTTGCTAATAATTTTATCGGACGAATAGAATCTTACAGGCAATTTATTATGAGAGTATACGATTTTGCAATAGTTTTAGCCAATTTTTATCTGGGAAAGTGTTTTAAATAATTTAATTATCTAAAATTTTATCTAATATCATATTTAGTTACGAAATACAGTTTAGAAGTTATTTCAAAAAATATAAAAAAATGCCTTTAAACTAGACAACACTCGTCGCCATTACCATCAGTTTCGAGATTATTCAAGTTTAACACTTTCCACTCGGGTGCTCGACGGTGCGCTGCGCTGGGTATATTATAGTGCTATATATATATCTCTCATCTCGGATTTTTTTGTATCGGATTTTTTTAAAATGTGGTAATGTTTCTTTTAAATACAGTTAGTATGATAATAAAATAGAAATTTAAAAAAAAATAAAAAATGTGATAAAGAGAGTAGTTGTCATGCCCGTATTAAGAACAACCCCAATAATACCGTTATTTTTTTATACCACGTATATACATACGTGTGTATGTATGTATAATACATTACATTGTATTTACAAATAATATATAAAATGAAATCGCTAGTAACCTTTATATAAAAAATAATGGCGTTTATGAGCTTATTAAATTAATTTAAGCATATTTTATTTCTGAAAAAATAAATTAATCAATAATTTAACTTAATAGTGAATTAATTTCAAAAAAATGAAAAAAAATCACATGTTGTAAGTTTAGTTCGCGACGACACGATTTGCCGCCGGAGCGGCGACATCCGAGTGGAACGGTAAAACGTATCATGCCGCCGGCGTGCGGCATCCGAGTCGAAAGGGTTAAAAATAATTTAAAAATATAATCAATATTTTTATAATATTTTTATCTGAGAAATTGTTTTAGATAATTCAAGTAGCTATAATTTTATCTAACATGATATTTAGTTACAAAATACAGATTAGAAGTTATTAACAAAAATGTTAAAAAATGTCTTTACTCTAAACAACATTGTCTATCCAATTTTAAAAATAGAGATAACAACTTTACATAATTTTTGTCTCAGTAATTATTTTAGATAATTTATCCAGTTACAATTTCTTCTTATACAACATTCATATATAGTTTTTGAGTATTCGATATAATCATGAATAAATGTGCTGAATTTACAGAGCACTAAGTAACTGTGAATGTAATAATGCATTTAATATTTTAATTGAAATCAGTTTTAAAGTGACTTTCGTCGGGTTTGTATAAATATTATAATTAATCGAATTAAATCGGATTTATTTAAGTGTTTTGT